TGAAGATCCGACAAAAGTAAACTTATTGTTTCATGGGTATCGTAGCCCCATATTTCTCTTTCGAATGGTGAAAACCGCACCTCTCTATCTATCACCGTTCCGGAGCTATAAGGTCAACACTGACGGGGCTTACTATTTTGAAATGGATAGTAGAGAAAAATGCGACCTGTACACCATTTAGGCTAACGTTTCTCGAAAAAACAAAACGAAAACCATTTTTCTGAAATAGCCTGTTTTAAAGCTCTTTCAATTCTCTACAAACTGATGTTTTCATTCATCTTTGTATGTATGTTTGATCACAAGGATTTGACAGGAATGAGGAAAATCTGTTCAAGATACAGCGGGTCCAAAAAATTATTCGTTCATCTTTCTTTTTCATTTTTCTCGTCGACCATAGTAGCTAGAACAAATCTGAACAAAGCTTTGTACAGCCGAAAGAATAACTAATCTGTTGAGATATACATAGAGATTCTATCGGAACGTCGGAAACCAGGGTCTCTGGAAAACCCAAATCTTAGAAAACCAAGTCCCCCTATTGGATCTAGAAATTTTCCCAAATAATTTTGCCATATAAAGCAAACATTTCTGAACAAAATGAGACGTCTGTTTTGACCGAAAATCACCATTTCTGAGGGGGGAGGCCCTTAAGAGGTTTGGTTGAAGATCTGTTTATTTCTAACACATCTAGCATCAATACGGCGAAAAATTCTTGACGAATTTAAAAAAAATCCGACGAAAGCTAATCTGAACCTTAATGACGATACAAATTCAGATGACGATGGTACCGATATAAACTCTGCCGAATCAGAGGTAGATCATGACTCGGACAATAGTGATAAAGAGAAGAAAATGGAAAATGATTTTTGCTCAAACAATGATAAAAACGAAGACACCTTTTTAAGCAATGATTTATGTGACAAATACTGCACAAATGAAGATAAACTACCACAATCATCTAAGTACGTACTTAAACTTTTTTAATATAGTCTGAACTTAGGACTATGTTGCACTGGCCACTGCCTCCCACAGACAAATGTAAATAATCAAAAAGTATAAAACTATATTCCGAACGTTGAAAGATGCAAATGAATGAAAAACCAGTTCGATGAAAGAACTAACTCAAAAATCGAAACAGTCCACGAACATCTCTATTTATCATTGAAATAGATGAATGCTAGCTCAAAAAAATGTAAACGTCTGTTTTTTAGTTTAAAACGTAGCTGATAGCACAGTTAAGAGAGAAACGACAATGTACGCGAGGACATACGAATTTTATGTAAATGTCAGCAATACATTCTGCACCTAATATTCTTATATTCACAAGCGTTTTAATTATAGTACTCCAAAATACATACATCGAATTGGAGATCAAGATATTAATTGTCCGAAATACGGCATAAATGGATTTTGTTGGAAAGGTATTTGTCGGAAAGAAAATAAACCTGACTTCCAATTATTCGCGTATGACTGGAAAATTTTTTTAGGAGTTACGTACAACATTACAAACACGTGCAACTTAGATTGTGGATTATTTATTCTGTATTATATTTACAAAACAAGCTCGCTATTTTACCACGAGGTTACAACAAATAATCGATTACCGATCTACAATATTTTAAAATCAACATTTGAATGCGTCGAAACCGTGAGCTGGGATATGGCAAGAATTATGTGGCTTTTGAAAAACAACCTTCTGAACATAAATGGAAAAGAACAACAGCTTAATTTATACGGTAGTGTAGATGAGAATGTTTTTAACTTTGTAAAACAAATCCAACGGTGCAAATCCGTCAGTCAATGTCATCCTCCTGCGAAAGCAAAAAATTGTTGTCCACAACCAACACGTTCAACTGAAACTACCGAACTATCATTGAGGTGAAGGCTATCACCACTGATCAATTAGTAAGAAATATTGTGTTTTGCCTTATTGTTTATAGCTGTAATGAAGATGGTAATCGAACAACATATTATCCGTATTTAGAGAAATTTGAAGAAGATTATATCTCACCAAAATGTGGAGCGACAATAGCGGATTGGGCAGAAAATTTTCAATATTCGGGGGAGTATTATCTCAATGATCTGACTGTCGTTGATCCAGAAACACATAAAATAGAAAAAAAGTAAAGATATTTGCCTCACATATATATAGTGAACGAAGTTGAACAATTTCTTCCTGATCATAACGTCGCCATCGTATTAGACTTTTCTCATTTTGAAATCTGTAGCATTTAAATCGGACGTAACACAAAGTTATACAGTTAAAATCTCTTGATTTTTCACATTATCTCATATGAAGTATTCAACAACTAACCTAAATCATTTGCTCGCACACACAAATTATTAAAAGTTCGAGCACGCTTAAGTTCTCTCGCTCTGAACAAAACAATATTTTGCTTAATTAATATTATGCTTTTTGAAAAGTAACGGAACATTTCAACATTTTTTACTCTTATTTCCTGCTTTATTACTGTTCCACTTTACTTTTTTATCCTTTTCTTTCTTTACTGTTTTACTCTTTCTTTTTTCTTTTTTGCTCGCGCATTCTTCGCTTAAGACAAAAAGAGTGAAACGGCAAAAAAAGGAAAGAGTAAAGTAGAAAAGAAATAAACTAGGAAACAAAAAAGTAAAAACTTTTGAAATGTTTCCTAAGCGAAAATTGCCTGGAGTTCTGAAAATAAAAGGCGTGCAAAACCAACGTACAATAACACTACTTTAAAAGATAAAGTGTGCAACGAAAACGGTTCAAGAGCTGTAGAATTGCTCTTCCGAAACCTTATTTTTCTGCTTTTTTTATCTTAGGTTAGTAGCATATTGTGGTTATCCACGAAAAGTCAAAAAGAGTGAATTTGTTCATGGTGTTCCAACAGTGTGCATCTTGAATTTGGATCAGGCTGGACCTACGATCGACAAAATTCCAGAAAAACTTAAGATCGGCAATAACATGTAAATTTTTTCCATCCTATTACTACTTTACCGACTACAACACTTCGAAATTCTAGGTATACGCTGAGAGGTTTGACGGTGCATCGTGGAGCTGCGAGTTACCGTACACAAGAAAGATATGCGACAAACCAGAACGTTATGTTGGGAGGCCACTTTACATCGTTGCTGAGAATTGACAATACATATTATGAGTATGACGATATAGGATGCACACTGAAGAAGTTTAAAAGTACACAACGTGGTACTCAGTATGAATCGGCCATTTATGCATTATAAACAGGTATCTTTTAGTATTGTGCCCGATATAGATCAGAAATGTTTCTGTACGCAGTGTTCGTGATTACGTACGAACCAAGACCGTGAGAAGGTGGCTAGATCAGTTGGGTGCAGAAGTCTTTAAAAACTTTTCCTCAGTTAAACAACAGTTTTCGAAACCTGACAGATAATCTATGAATAGAAGATCGTTTAGAGTTCATATTACAAAAGTCTTAATCTAAGCAGAAATATCAAAGTCAATGGAGACTGTTCACTCTATTGTTAATAGAAAAATCCAGTGCTAACAATCTATAATATAATCTAGGTATTTTTCTTGCAGATTCAAAGTGCGCTTCACACAATTACTACAAGAGCTTAAATTAGTCAGACAATTCGTATGACTTTTTTTACTGCATTCTTTTGCAATTGTATTACATTTTTTTTCATAAACTTATGAAAGTAAAAACAGGATATTTTTTTTCTTAGCCAAAAATGATAAAGCGTATTCCATTGCGCGAAAGAATCACTATTATAAATGACGAGCAGAGGATAATTTTCATTCATTCTATTGTTGAACCATCTGTGTTTACTATACAACTTCCTACACTACTTGTTTGGGACAACACGACACAAGCCCAAGTAAATAACCTTCTCTTCTTTAGAAAAATACGCTCTTTATTCAAAGATTCAACCCTTTTAGTCTACACAAAGAAGTAATCGTTTTTGGTATCGTACGTAAGTTACAAACTCCCATGCGCACGAGCATTACAGTCAACAAATAATATTCTTCATAAAAATCTTTGCTTATCTATTAAAAAAAACAAAGACCTGTACTTGTTTAGTATTTCTATAAATAATTGACTAATTTTAATAAGGTTGAACTGCTGTTGAACGAAAAGACACCAATACAACTATGATACTGCGAAATGTAAACCTGTAACGATATACAAAATAAAACTAAAACAATGAAGTCATAATATGTTACACATTAATCGAAAGTCAGTAAGCGTTGTGTATTACGCAAAAAGGTATTATATTCCAAAAGCTCTTCTACTTAGTTTCTCTACTCACTCCGTTAGAAATTGCTTTTGCCAACATACCAAATGATGTATGAACAGGTAAATGACAATATAATTTTTCGTTCGGTTTAATCACAAGATTTTGGACGAATATCGGTGGTAACGACAGTTTAAATACAAATGGATGTGACATCTAATGAAAGACAAGAAAATATTATGTATTCTTGCTATCCAAGATCCATGCTTCACCATACCCAACAGGCCAAGATATACATGAATAGATCAAAAAATGATAAATCACTCTTCAATATACCACTAAAACCAATATATAATTTACTATCAAATGCGCTACAATATATGAGAAAACTATGCGAAATGTAAATGTTTGAAATGGTGCCAAAATGCACGTACATTTCTTGTACACACTTTTCAAAATTCAACAACAACCTGAAAAGCTATTTCATTGATATAAATCTAAAAACGTTTCATGTAAATTAATATATCATTGGAATAAAGAAAGAAAGAATTTTATTTGACTTACTTGTATGCAGACTGTGATGCATTTTTTGTAAGTGTTACAAACATTTAGATTCAGTCTATTCTTTTATATACATCACCTATATGGCGTCTTAAGCAAAAGAAATAAAGAAAAAATACAGAACAAATTCACATTAGAACTGCGACAGAAACCATTGCTTTTCTTTTCAAAAGAATGTTTTTTCTTTCTAACGTTTGTGTCTTTTTTTGGACACACGTTTTGTCTATCATGGTTTTTGTTGCAGTTCTATTTATTTACAGTCTGTTGTAGTTATTCAGTTGACTCCATGTGCATGTGGTACACAGATACATAAAGAGAAAAAAAATTTTTATACTCTCTAACTCGACTATCACTCTCCATGTAATCTGAAGTAGCGTGATAACACCATGCTTTCAACTACATTGATGGATAGAGCCCATATACGCCGTATATTGAATTTTGAGCTCTATCCGAATCTCAACGTTTCTGGAGGTGGAAACGTATGCTCGAGGAGATATACGGGTTTTAATGAAATTTTGACAAAAATTAAAATCCATTTTTTAAGCTAACGATAAAATATTAGAGTTTCGTTCAAAGTTCATTCGATAGAGCACATGAAACTCCATATGCCCACAAAATTCTGAGCTCTCGAGCAATCTCCTTCATCATTTTTTGTTGTTTTAACGAAGTTTGGCAAAAACTCATTTTTTCAGTTATTTTCAAGTAAAAAAAGATTTTGGATCATTTTCTCCGAGCTGAAAATTTGCAGTGGAATAAAATTTATAACTTTAGTTAATATAAATTTAGTTAAATTTATAACATTCCGAAGGAGTTACTTTCTAGAAAAAAGACGACGAAATCGATCATTAAGTAAGTGTGGCCGCTTAGGATTGTATCCAAGAACTGCTATTTTGCTGCATTTATAGTTAACCGACTTCTGAGTAAACTAATAAGTTTCAGAAGATGTTATGAAGTTTTTCTCCTGTCTGAAAGTCAAAAGATATATGGCATAAATGCCGTTTCTCGAGTTCTCCAGAAATGGTTTGTCTGTGCACTTCTTTACACTTTGTGCAAATACTCATTGTAAACTAAAGTGGTCGAAATTATTTTTTCAAATATGATACTTGATAGAAAAACTTTGAAAGCCTGCCGTTTTGGCTATTTTATCAAGATTTTGCTGCATATTATTCTGTTAAGAAGGTCTGGTTGAGTTTAACTCCTTAGATAGTTTTTTAGAAAATTCCTCAGTATTTAGATACATCGGACCCATGCATCATGTTTTACTCGGACTTTTCTTCGAGAACATTGATGCATTTGCCGCAGTACATCGCAATGCTCACGTGTCTAATATGAATGATTAAATTCCCTAAATACATTATAAAGGCTGTGAAGCACCCTAATACGGATGTTTTGATACGAAAAACTTTTCAAAATGCATAGAAACTGAAAAGCTCTCAAGGGCATAGAAACTCCCGGACATTGAATACAATGCATCCCCAACGCTTTAGGTCGAAATCAACTTACAAATGTAGAGAAATCTCAAAGTTTTCTACAGATCCTGTGAAGAACTCTAGGCGCTGTCCAATATCATATCCCGTTGTTTAACACAAGACTAACGAAAAATTCAATAGAAATCCACAAAGTTTCCTAAACACTCTCTGATTTAAGAAAGACATGTCGACTCTTTTAATTCTTGAATATCTGGGCATATGTACTGGACTTTTCCAAATCTACAATTGAATAGTGCAGTTGTACTTACGATCGTTACTCTATCTTTGCACACCTCCATGCCAAAATGGCTGCACATGTCTATTACGCATCAATTTTACTATAAGTTTTACTTTTCTTCTATTTTCTACTTTAAAAACCGCTATTGGATTTCTCATTAGTCGCGAAGTTTCTGTTACAGGATTGATTATGGCAGTTTTGTTTTGCTCAAATATCGCTATGATTATGGCGTGGCTCTTGCTTTTGGTACTGATTATGAATGTAATTAAGACAGTAGAACAAGAGCTTTCTAGTAATACGGCGACACCTAATTGTAGTGAAGGAGCCGTTGAAATGTACGAAAAGAAACCGACAGCTTCAGTTTAAACAATGATCATCAAAACAATTTTGATTTGACAACACTTCTTATCGAACCATCTCTTCAATCAAGAGCAAATCAGACTTTCTTTAAAAAACTTGTTTCACATTATCAACGTACTTTATTTTCATTCCATGTACTCTACAAGGCCCCAAAACTAAGGGAGAGAGTTATGATGAGCTTTTGATGAACACAGAAGATAGTCAGACATATTAACTGGAAACTAACAGAACTTCCTATCGAATTCCTTTGTATAAAAAAACCCGTGTACTCCATTTTTTTCCTTTTCTGCTTGATCTAATACTTCTTTTCAGTTTAATAAATATTCGTTTCATGTATATTCATCAAGACAAAAATACTTGAAAGTGTTTATACTATGCATAAATGTCGAACTTATTTTTATCATCGACACAAAGTGTACGACAGGTGCATTTTACTAGCGATCAATAAAACACATTTTTTTATTGTGGCATGTATTTTGACTTCGAGTAGTTTTATAAAGACTTTTTCACAGCCGATGTTTCCAATGAAAGAGTAACAAATGGCAGCTAGACTGTGTGAAGTTTGCAAAAGAGGCAGAGCGAAACTGACAAAAACTACAAGTGCTATTTTAAACCAACCAGTTATTTATTTAAACAAATCCCTATTTTAAACAAATCATTTTCCCTTTCCGGTTAACTTCAAAGAGACAACTGCTGCAGGCTGTTTTGTGTTCTTCCACTCTGTTTTTTCCAACAAAGCATTTCTCATTCTCACCTGAGATAAACACTCAACTTCTCCAAACACACGCACACTTAAAGAAAAGACTTTAACTAAACTCTCAATGATGATACTTCTAACCATGCTCTCACTATTATTATTCACAAGTCTTTGTTCGGGTTTACCGACTTACACAAGTAATACCTTTCCGTTTGTCCTGCAAGCAAAATCTGCAGCAATACCCGCATTGACATGTCCCTCCGTCTATAGTTTATTGTATTATCCTCGTACAATAACGAATGTAACTATCTTGGAATTACAGCCGCTAAAAGTTCAGATAGATTTCGAACTTCATGGGCCAACATCGAAACACACAGCAGCAATACAAGGCATGGTGTGTGATCGGGGTTTCAACCAACAAGCAGCAAATGCCGTTTGTCATTCGATCGGCAAAAACTATGCAGCGTATGTGCCTCGAATACATTGGACTGAAGGTCCGATGGATCGATGTCAGTTTGAAATGGATAA